GGGAAGAAGTCGTGCTTGGGAAGTCCCTCCCGAGCCAGCAAGCGTTGAAGGACATTACGGCAATGCAAATGACGCGGTACTGCCTCGTGTCGATCGATCTCACCTCAAAGAAATGATCGCGTCAGCTCACTTCAGAGGTTAGGTGTCAGCTACAAATCTTTTTATCACTCCACTGTCAGAATCATAGCGATGCCAATTTTTTATGGCTTATCACTTTACGCTGAGTGCCCTGAATCTGAATTATTCAAATCAAGATTTTGATGGTTCTGGGAAATTTTTGTGTAATTTTTCGGTTTGAATGAAGCCTGTCTTAGTTTCCATTTTTATTGAATTTTCATTTATAACACGTTTCTTTGTCATTTTGAAGGAGATATTTTGATTAGTCAGATTAATACGTATAAAAAATTGATTGAGGTACGATACTTATTTTGACCTCATTCACTAAAAATGTTTGTTAGCACTAGCAACTTAGAAGTCACGGAAAATTTTGGAATTGGATTGAATTTCTCAATTTATATTACCATATATTAGGTGTTATAGTATACTATTAATTTTTATGTTCACCAAATAACCACATAACTGAAGCACGCGAAGCTACAAATTGAAGCTACCAGTACGTGTTGAATCACAATTACAAATTTTTTCCGAAGCTGGCATTGATCTTGCATGAGGAAGGTCAGCAGCTTCACCAAAATTTATAAGCATCCATAAATTATATGCAAGTAAGTAATGGTTGCACATTAGCAGCTCTGGTAATTGCCCTCACTGTAGTTAATCATGTTAATGGCACCAGCCTGGGCGTCATGTTTCGATTTTGTCAGTCCATCGCAATCCTGTGACATATAAATTGTGTTTATATTTTTCTTAATAAATTCAGGAAAAATGATCTCTTAGGCAAACTTTAGGTTCAAGTGACGCTTAGTTTATATATATATATAGTTTTTTTAATAGTCTAACATGTGCATCGTCCTCCATATTAGAGTGCATCAGCAATTTGGAGTCAACTATATACATTCTCAATTTCAAAGGAATTTTTTTTCAAATCTCGTGTATTTTTGAAATCGTTTTCGGCCGCTGATTAACAATTTAATGGAAAAAGCGCGTTACAAGCAACAGTACATCATTATACAGTTTCGTTCAGCATAATTACAACATTTTTACAGTGCTGCAGTTGCTTGGGTGAAACGCAATACTAGCAGTTATTTGTAATGCAACCCGAGAAGTCATATGTAGTGCAATACCAACAGTTATTTGTAGTGCAACCCAAGCAGCTAGTTGTGAAGCAACCCTAGCAGTTAGTTGGGGAGCAAAACTAGAAGTTATGTACAGCACAACACTACCAGTTAGTTGTTGTGCAACACCAGCCTCTAGTTGTGTTGCAACACCAGCCTTTAGTTGTGGTGCAACACAGCAGTAGCAGCTTGGAAGTCCCCTGGAAGAAAATTATGCGCAACGCTGTAGCACTCACAACGCATCACCCACCCCTGCACGCAACGCTTGTTGCTGAGCCTCTGAAACAATGCAGATAAATGCCTTGCTGCTCCAGCGTGAAGCTTGATCCCTGGAGATGCTGTTTACCTGACGTGCTGGACTCATACCAGGAGTAATGTTAGCAAGTTCCTCTTACTTATCTTACGCTTCAAGTAGGCCAGACAGATAAGAGCTCCACTCGTTGTGGAGAAGAAGGCCGCTTTCCGCGTGAATAATTTCGCGACGTGGGAGCTCAAGTGCGCGCTGAACGCTTGCCTCCGGTCCGCAAAAGCGAGCATTGTTCCGACATCATTCCTGGTTTGTTGAGAAGTTTGTTGTTTGCATAAGTTGTGCATTTACAACTAATGGAAAGTCCGAAAATAACAAATTCTGGACATATCGACGATAATCAAGTTTAATTCGGTGGTGTTATCTAATTAATGCAAGAATTAAATCAATCAAATTTATTTGGTTAATTTAAGCTGACTGTATTTAGGCTGACCTTGCACTCTATCTAATGCCGCAAATTGTATGGAAACTGTTTAGCTTCATTGCATTGCTGAATATTCAAGAGAATGCATCACTGAGTAAATAGCATGACTTCTCAAGACGCATTAGCTTTCCCTACTTGCAACGAATTACTGTTCCGTGACCTGGTGAGGAACACGATCATCCCTTAGATGCAGTAATGCAAATGACTTAAGAAGATACCGGTATGAGTAATCAATATGAATTACAACTTGAATTATATAAAAAGATATAGAAACTCGGGGATCTCAAGTTATGGTTCTTCCAGGTTAGACATGCATTTTTAAATTATATACTAATTATGGGAAAAGTCTAATATCCTCATTTTAGTTAATGATAAGAAAAAGTTGAAGATCCTTAGTCCGCAATAAAAAGCAGTTTAATTTCGTATCTATTTGGTTTTTCGAACAATACTTACATTTTTTCGATGAGACTACGGAATTGTTGGGCAAACTACAAAATAAAAAATTTCTTGAGACAAACAACTCGTCTTCAATAAAAGAACCCAACATTCGTAATATCAGATCCACTGAAGCTACAATTCGGAGCGACGTTGATCAGAGATGAGCCTGTTAGGTTAATCTATGAATAAACAGCAAATGCACAATACAGCGAGCCACACTTGAACAATAGTAACTTGGACTGCAATGTGAGGATGAGTGCTGTGATGAGCCCATCCATTAGTGGATGCAGTATTATTCAGCGTAGCTGCATAATGACTGGAACGGCTGAGCAGTTTCGCTATCCTGCTGGGCATTACCTGGATACTCCTGCTCACTGCCTTGACTCTCAGACACTCAGCTCTACAATTCCCTAAGTTATTCCACTCTGCATAAATACCTGTATTTTGCGATCAAATATATCATCGTCTTGGAATTCTGATATGAGATATTACCTAACAACAAGGAAATACAAACGTTAACTTGTTTATTTTAATTTCAACCGAGTTTTTTATTTAATTAGTCATGGATCGAAGAATCCATGCTGAAACTATCATGAATATTGAATTTTTTAATTTTTTAGTTTCTTTGCATGCCTCATGTGCTAAAAATCCCTGCTTCTCTGCTGGGCAATTATTGGTAAATGGACCAGGGCCGTCCGACAAAGCGGGCCACGGCCGTCTGACAAAGCGGACCATGGCCGTCCGACAAAGCGGACCACGGCCGTCCGACAAAACGGACCACGGCCGTCTAGCAAAACGGGCCACGGCCGTCCGACAAAACCACTCGGAAAGCGAGGCGTCACGAGCGAGCTTTGATTGACCTGTCGCGATCAGCATACAAAATTTACAATAAATACAAATATTACAGCGGAACGTGTTCGGGACGCTTTAAAGTTGCACTTGCCAGCTTACAGGCAGAATTTAAATCAAATCATTTATTTGGACTAGAATGTCGTCTAAAGCTCACGTGATTCTGAAATTTATCCATTCTATTGGTAGTTTTTTTAAATGGCACCAAATCACTTTTAATCTCATAACTAAACAACATGTTAATCGCATAACATGACATAATACTCTAGGACACACAAATCTGTTGTAATAATTTGATCGTAATTAGCTAACTTAAAATTAGACGAGTGGTCTATGCGAGCGCGGCTAGACGTGGCCACCGTGAGGACATCTTGCAAAATTATTTCAATGATTCCAGCAGTAGTGCTGCGGTCCGCAACGCATTTCTCGCCAAAACCTTCTATACTCTTCTTTCACAGGATGCAGTAACAAAATTATATCTCTGTATTGAAACCATTTTGCACTGTTTGTGAATAAGGCCTTCATTAATCCAGTCATTGTCGGAACATTAGTCCGTCATCATCGATCCTTCATCATCGGAACATTGGTCAGTCAGCTGATCCCGTTCAACCAACTATATATACTGATGTACGTTCGTTGAGTGACGAGTCAGAATCAGAGCTCAATCGCAAGACTCTGAAAGTCTTAATACGAATAATGCTTTGACCATTAGATTTTTATTCACCAAAATCTTGAACTTGGAATACGTGAAGTACAATTATTACTTCAACTTAATTATGGTCATGAATATACATTTATTATTTGGACTCAACTCCCACGCATCACAAGTCATATTTATCAATAGAGCTCACCTCAGACGAGGTTAGAACAAGTAACGAGACTGGGAGAAGCAGACCGTTCTCTCCACGCCCTTGATATTACATTAATTTGCGACCCAGACAGTTGATCTGGGTTTTCAAGTGCGCTAGACGTGTTGCCACTGGGCACCGCGACTCGTACCCGTAAAAACTTCTTCAGGTCAGTTATATTTTTGATATTTTCACATTCCATATCTGATTTTTGAAGACCCTTTGTTTTCTTGAAATACAAAAACAATCGGCGTAGAATATTTCTGAGAGAATCAGAGAGAATCACAAATTCTGTTAGGTTGTTGCATAGCCATGGTTGATCAACACAAATGACTTATACTGGCTTTTGCATTGCACCACGTATTCAATACTTACTGACGAATGTGCCACTGACGCTAGACTTTTTACTGACAGACTCATTTACTCTATATTACAACGGACTTGAATCTTCTATTATATCGCAATATTCTATTAAGCGCCTACAGCTCGCGCTGACTGACAATTGTCAATCCTGCTATATAAATCCTGCTATATAATATCTGATATATTTATTTCTATTAGTAATGTTGACTCACAACATCTATTGTGTTACAAAACCACGATAATTACTGTTTGACAATAATGCTAATAGCTAGTAACTTTAATAATAAGTAATTGTTTATATAGAGTACAGGACTCATAATCAGTCAATTAATATAACTCACCTAACTTGAACTTCGCTGCGCTGAACAATACTATAACAGACTGTGAGACTGACAATAGTGCTTCTGACGTATTCTTAGGACCTTTAACCTCCTACAACCGAGCTGAAACTCCCGTATCACAGTTACCGTTTATGTTCAGGAAAAAATTCGTATTTTGCTATTCCCACTTCAACAAAAAGCGTATTTTATCGCCTCCAGAGGAACAGCCTGTCTTCCTGGAGTCCGTGAAGAACGTCACGGTGACGCTGGGACGAGACGCCTCCCTCACTTGCATCGTCGACAACCTGGGCGCTCACAAGGTTAGCTCATATATCATAATACTACAATGTAAAACCTAATTTAATATATAAAATTTTAGAAATTTTACAATACAATTTTGTCATACACTAAATTTCTCATTTATTCAGCACTACTAATAAATATTGACGACATTTTCGACGTAAGTAAAATTGTTCTCATCTTTTCTTACTATTATAGTTAAAATTAATGACCGTCAAATTCTACCAACATTTGCCGATAGTAAAATTGGTTTCAAATCCTAAAATAATATTAAAATTGATGTAATTCATTATTAACTTGTTGAAAATCATTACTTTCTTCAGCTGTAAAAGCACGATTAGTTATTCATGGACAAACGGGAAACATTTTCTATCAAATAATGGTGAAAAATACTCAAAAAGTTGTGTAACTATAAAAATGAGAATACTTGAAATATTGTATGCTGCATGCCTAATAGTAAAAAATCAATGTCACATATGGTCAACGCTGAATTAAAGAAAATAAATAAATATTTGGCAAACCCGAGTTCACCGATTTAATTGATTACTTTGAGTTTAATTAAAATCCTTCTGAGAAAAGCCCATCGTGACTCGTAGACGCAGTAATGTTCGAAAGAAGATATTTCAATCCAAATCCAAGTAAACGTTTCAAAAGTTTAACATTTCCGATTTTGTTTACGTAAATATTAGGCTAACCCTAATTAATTTTCTAAACATGACATTTGGCATCCTTAACGATGTTGAGCCGCATTTTAAAATAATTTAATACTCCAAGCATAAAATTTGTTTTTTTTTATTTCTAATGGCCCAAGAAGTCTAAATTAAATCTTAGGAAGTTAGTTTACAGTATACATTTCAACGTGCTTCTTCGGTTCAATTTGCACTTTCGCCCGCTGCAATGGAATTAAAAAAGAAGAGCGGAGTCGGGACGAAGAAGCATACATATTCATATTCGGGATGCAAGGTGACTGAGATGCGAGGACATTAATGCAGTCGAGTCTTGTGTTCATTTCGATTCAGTGGAATGCATCTTAGCTTCGAAGCACCCAAATGCATTCAGAAGTGGAGTGCTCGAATGATAGATCAGAATGCACAGCAATAATTTTTGATCCTAGGCTGATAAAGCCAAGAAAGTATCATTATCGAAAAAATTAATCAAAACAGTTTAAATATTAAAGAAATGGATGGAACGAGAACTTAATAAAAATAATATACAAACATTGATCGGACTGAACGATAACAAAAGTTGCAAAAGCAAAACTAGATTATTATAAAGCTATAAGAGAACATAAATTTAATATTCAGGTTGATGAAAGCAAAAAGGATAAAATCCAAACATACAGGGTGGAGCAGAACCGATTGAGCAGTTTTGAGGCAAAATAGTAATGAAGGCACATAAAGACGAAAATTTATTTTCCTCGAGGTTAGCATAACATACCATTTAGAATACTTATGTTTTGAATATAATATCTGGAAGATGGTGGCCGTTAGCTGCAACAAACTATTGGAGTCGTTCTCGGCAGTTTCCTACAGCACGTTCACACATATGGCGAGGTATGCCCATAACCTCTGCAATAATCCGTCCCCTTAGCTGTGGTAGGGTGTGAGGGCGACTTCTGAACGCCCTTTCTTTTAGATGTCCCCAAAGAAAGAAATTGCAAATGCTCAAATCAGGTGCCCTCGCAGGCCACTGTAAATCACCCCTCAGAGACACCGAGAACGACTCCAACAGCGTGTTGCAGCTAATGGCCACCATCTTCCAGATATTATTTTCAAAACATAAGTATTCTAAATGGTATGTTATGCCAACCTCAAAGAAAATAAACTTTCTTCTTTGTGTACCCCATTACTCTTTTATTTCGCCTCAAAACTGGTCAATATCAGTTCTGCCCCACCCTGTATATCGCACAGATGCATGTTTATCGCTGAGAAAATATGAGTCGAAAGTAAATTAAATCTAGCCAGACAAAGAAATTGATAAATAGTTCATTATCTGAGTTGTAAAGTATATTAAATATTGTGAAAAATAGATCAGTAACCTATAAATACCAGCAGTTTGTGATCCGTGTGCAATTTTACATGACACCGCCAAAATAAGCTGGTCGGCTGGCGGCGACATCTGCCGGAAATGAACACAGCGGCGATCACAGGTCGCAGCGAACCCAATATTTACCCCGGATATTGAAGAGAGAAATTAATCAAGCACGTTATAAAGCAACCATCATAATCCATAATATTTTGTCCAGCCGCTCTATCACCGTAATTATAAAAAATTAATTAATCATTTCATGCTGGGTAACAATCTGCGTGTAATTGAAATTTGATTATAGTTATGTATACATCTGCTTTAAATCAGTATTTAATATTTTGAGATGTAGCTATAATGTGAGCAACCTGATAAACTGATATATGGTTCGTGCAGCATTAGACTGTCGGAATTGAAAAATTAAGTCACCATCGATACATAATACTTAAAAATTAAATATTATGAGATTTTTATGACCGGCACACAAGTGGTTTCTCGGCAGAATTCCACAGAATTTCATCTGAGCGAAATTTTCACTAAATTTTGGGCCAGAAACGAGAAGAAAACGTGCTATATGGCGCGTTATAGGCACAGTAATATAATTAGAATAAATACATAAGCATAAAAAGATAAGACAAGATTGATGTACCGAAGTTTAAATCAGCCAAACCGCATGAATTAATTGTATAGAGTAAATAACATCAAAAGTAATTACCTCTTTACTAACTATTTATTAAAATATAAGTTTCTCTTTAGAAACTAGACATTGAAATTAAATTGAATAGAATTTAATTTCGATGAAAAGAAAACGCCAAGTTAATTTATTATATCTTCGTCGAAAACTTTTTAAATAACGACATGATGAATTTTTTGGGCGTTAATTTCTTTGCTCCTGAATGCTTATTGAAATACTGTCAGACAAATAATATGAAAAAGTAGAAACTTAATTACTTCAACAAAAAGCACACATAAATGAATTGAAAAGCAAGACTTCCGCAGCAATAGTCTTGCAGTAGTCTTGAATTACAATAGCAGTAGTCTTGAATTACAGTAGCAGTAGTCTTGAATTACAGTAGCAGTAGTCTTGAATTACAGTAGCAGTAGTCTTGAATTACAGTAGCAGTAGTCTTGAATTACAG